TCCTTTGCTTTATTTAGTAAATTAATTCTCCTATGGAAAAAGGAAAAAGGAGGGCTTATTCTCCCCTTACTCTTAGCGGGGAAGGGAAAACCTCCTAATTACTTTTTTTACCTTTAAATAGTAAGGTAAATCAAAGGTTTCTTTCTTAGGAATGGAAATTTTATTTTCCTTAAATTCCCTCCTCCCTACTTTGCTTTTTCTTTACAAAATTCAAAGGATCTCCAAAAAAAGTAGGCTTCTTCTTCTCTTACTCGCTAGCGGGGGGGGGGGGAGGACTAATTTAAATAAAAAAAGTATACTCCTTTGCGTTGGCAAAGTTAATAGTTCAGCTATTAGAAACAGAGTAATATGGAAAGTAAAGAAGAAGGTGGATAAAATTATTTCTCCCTAACTCCAACTCCCCAATGGGTCCCTATGAAACCATAAGGGAGCCGTCACTACTTTTTAGTCCATCTACTCCCCTCCCTTAAAGCAAAGGGTTGGAGGAGTACGCGGAAAATAGAAACATTGAATAAATTAGCTTTAGTTTAGAAAGCTAAAGACCTTTAACTTTCTTTTAATTAAATTAATAATCCATATGTTTATTTTATTAAGTAAAAGGCTGTGAATTATTTAATTTATTAAGCCAAATTCTACGGTCTTACTTAGAATAGGAATAGCCTATTGTCAAAGCTCTTGGTTATTTATAAATAAGTAAAAGTAACTTACTTCCCTTCTATCTTAATTACTCCAACAAAATGGAGTTACTGCTCCTTCAAATAGGTAAGTTACTGTTGGAGAACAAATAAATTAAAAATTATGGGAAATAATTAAGATATTTACCTTTTCCCCCTCACTTAAAAAGTAAGTGAGGAGAGGACTTAAGCTCCACCACCTTTGTCCATAGGAGAAGAATTGTCTTCATAGGATTTATTATTTTAATTAATTCTTGCCTCCATAGGACTTCTTATTTATCTTTTTGTCGCGTAGCGGTAAATTTAAGAAAAAAAACAAGGCTACTTTCCCCTCCTTTGCTTTTAACTAAATAAAGCAAAGTCAAAAGTAGGTGGTGGGTAAAGTAGGGAGGGTTAAATATAAGACACTAATATATTAACTACTTTATGATAATTTAAAAGTAGCCTGGCTTTTATATTTATAATAAAAAAAAAAGATAAGTTATTATTAACTTCTCCTTTAGGGTTAATATCCCCTCCTTTGCCTTTACTTTATTTAGTATTTTATTCTCCTATGGAGAATTGAGGGCTTATTCTCCCCTTATTCGCTACGCGGGGAAGGGAACAAAAAGCTTTTATTGAATAAGGAAATTTATTATTTGTATTAAGACTCCTTTCCTACGAATACGAATGCGAAGATGAAGACGAAGAATTAATTCTCCCTATCCGTCCTCCTCCATTCCCACCTCTGCTTCGTACTAGTTTGCCTTTGTTTACATTTTCTCATAGTCCTTTTCCTTTTTAGTCTCTCTCCTCCCCTCCCATTTGCTTGCCTTAACAGAAAAACAAAGGATCTCTCTCTTTTCTCTCTAAACAAAGTAGGGTTATCCGAAGGGCTCCCTTACTTTTAGATACTATTTATTTTTAAGGCAAAAAAAGCAAATGGGGGAAGGCAACACACTTTGCTAGTAAGCTTTTCTCCTCACAAAGTTAGGTTTAATCCTCACAAACTTAGGTTCTTCTTCTCCGTAGATAACTCACTTTTATTTAGGTTCTTTCTCCTATGGGCAAAAGCAAAGGTGTTCGTGATATAATATTATCAAAGCAAAGGCAAAATTAGTGAAAGGGGAAAGCCCTTATTTTTTTTTTTTTTTCATCTGTTGATTAATATAAAGCCTGAATAGTTTAATAGGTAAAACGGCTTACTTGTAATAAGTAGATAGCGGTTCAATTCCGTTTTTAGGCATAATAATGATAAAATTAATATTCTATTCCTCCCTATAAAAGGCCTTAATAAATCCTACTCCTACGGAGTGAGCTAACCCCTTTTTTTAAGGCAAATTAGTCAATCGTAGGAAAGTGTTGAGAAGGAGGAATATTATTAATAAAGAAAAATCTGCTGGATCTGTTAGCCTCCTTTTTATGGCTTTATACGGTTACCTATGGTTCCCTATGGCTACTCAATACAACCCATGTAGGAAATAGTAAGTATGCTAATACTAATATAAAGAGTAAAATTTTTGGGATAAATAAGAGCCTTTAATTTAATGGTAGAATGGTTTCTTGATAAGGAACTTGTAGGAGTTCAAAGCTTCTAGGGCTTAATTATAATAATTACCTTATCCTCCTCCCTAACTAAAAGGAGTGAGGGTCCCTATTCCCTCTTTTTTAGAGATACTTTGCTTTTGTATTCTTCTTTTTAAGTCTCCATCCCTCCCTATGCTTACTTTTTAGAGATCCTTTGCTTTCCCCTGCTCTTCATAGGAAGCCTTACAGAGGTAATAAAAAGGCAAAAGTTAGGGGAGAGTTTACGAGCAGAGGAGAATACAAATAATAACTCCTATGGAGGCAAATCAATGGGAGTTTAAGTAGATTTTTAAACAAATAAATTAATAGTAGTTTCGCAAACAAAACAAAGGATCTCTTAAAAAAAAATGTAAATTGCTGTTAGGATCTCATAAATAGGGAAAAGATAAAAGTAGTAAAAACGAACATGTTGAAATTGGTAAACAATCTTCTCTTAAGAAGAAGTGGGTGTAAACCCTTAAGAGTTCAAGTCTCTTTGTTCGTACTGTTCCAAATTTAGTGTTATGGTTCTATTGAACCCCTTTTTAGCCGGGAGAAATAAATTATAAAACTATATTATTTTTATACCTTTGCTTTGGCTTAGTTTTTATTTGTATTTGATCTCCTTTTTATTACCTAACTCCCCCCCCCCCCTACAATGAACCTAAAATTTAGAGACCTTTTACTTTTGTCCATAGGAGAAGAATTGTTTTGCAAAGGATATCTTAAAAAAAGTTAGGACTTAAAAAAAATTAAACTTTTCATCCTAAAATTTTATAAAAGCTCTAGCCTGACTTATGATCTAAATAACAGCGGACTTATTTCCTTCTTATATTTCATAGGGTTAAATGGTAGGAGCTTAAAGCAAAGGCAAAGTCGGATAGGTTCCTATAAATATGGGGAGATGTTAAAAATTTAGGTAAACAAAGGTTAAAATAAGGAATAATCGTCATTGGTAAGATAACACGATTGCTAATCGTCTGGGATAGCTCCCTTAAGCGTTCGACTCGCTTTTATTCCGAGAATTTATCTCCGCCTCCGCACAATTTGGGGATGGTGAGATATCCTTTACTTTAATTTTAAATTTTGTTTTCAAACTAAGGTCACATTAGTTTAATTGGTAAAGCACAGCTTTGTGGATGCTGAGAAAAGAGTTCAAATCTCTTATGTGACCCTAACTATGTTATTCCACCTTTGGTTTTGTCTTTGAAAGCAAAGGATCTAAAAAAAAAGTAGGGAGTAAAAATTTTTAGCCTTTGCTCGAAGCCTTGCAATGGCAAGAGGAGAGAGATATTTTTATAAAGATACCTATATCTACCTTTCCCACTTTTTAGCAAATAGCTATATTTTATTTTCTTTTGCTTTTTTAACCTAGGCTCACTTAGGGTCCATCTCCTTTGCTTTTTAATGGATATCACTACTAGGGATGGAGAGTTATTATTATATTTATTCTCAAATATTAAGAAGTAAGGAGCCCTCCATACGGGTCCCTACGGCTTCCTATGTACCCTAACAAAAAAAGGGGGTAATGAGTATATAATTTGTATAAATAAAGTGTTAAAAATAAATAAAAATGGTGCTAATATAGTGGGTCAAGTTTACAGATGGTTCTGTAGTAGACCTGCAAAGTCTATCTTTTAGGTTCAATTCCTACTTAACCCTTTATTACAATTTTCTCTCTCCCCATAGGGGCTAAGATTTAATAATAAAAATATATAATAAAACCTACAACATTACTATTGAAACTTATTATTCTATTTATCCTTAATTGTTTACAGTGGACCTGCAAACCTATGTTACAAACTAAGCAATCTATCCCCCCCCCCCCCTTGTAAAGTTTATATTCTTATTTTTATTTCCTCATTACTTAGCTTCCTTAGGGCTAAAGCAAAGAAAAAGTAAGGGTTCCCTATAGGGAGCATACGTAATAAAAGTAAAGCCTATGCTTTACAAAAGATCTCTCCCTTAAACAAAAGTAAACAAAAGTAAGGGCTTCTTCTTCGAAGTCTGTAGAGGGTTGTACTCTCCTTTATGAGATACTGTCCTTTAAATTAAGCATAGGATTTTATTAAATATTTAATTTATAAAATTATAGTCCATTTTTTCTAGTTTTCAATAGTCCACTAGCCTACAAATATTATATTTATATTATCAGTCCTTCTCCTTAGGGAATAAAAATTTTATTATGACAAATTTATTTATTCAATCACCTTTAAGTCAATTTGAAGTAGTTAACTTAATAGGAGTTAATGCTCCAATTTTAGGTAATTTACATTTAAATTTAACTAATTTAGGTTTATATGCCAGTTTTGTATTATTTATCATCTTAGGCTTACATATTTATGGAAATAATGATAGCAGATTAATACCAAATAAATGGTCAATATCATTAGAATCATCATATCAAAGTTTAAATACTATGGTAAGAGAACAAATAGGATCACAAAGTGAAAGATATTTTCCTTTCATTTATTCATTATTTTTCTTTATATTAATAGGTAATTTAATTTCAAATGTTCCATATTCATTTGCAATAACAGCAAGTGGGGTAGTTTCATTAGGCTTAAGTTTTACAATCTTTATTGGTGTTACAATCTTAGCTTTATCTATACACAAATTAAAATTCTTTGCTTTCTTTATACCAGCTGGAACACCTTTAAATTTAGTTCCTTTATTAGTGTTAATTGAATTAGTTTCTTACTTAGCCAGAGCTGTTTCTTTAGGAGTTAGACTTTTTGCAAATCTTACAGCAGGTCATACTTTATTAAAAATATTATCTACTTATTTATTTAAATTATTTTCAGGTAGTTTATTTATTGCTATTCTTACATTAATACCTTTTGCTATATTTTTAGCTTTAGTTGGTTTAGAAATAGCTGTTTCTTTAATACAAGCTTTTGTGTTTACTTTATTAGTTTGTTCTTACTTAAGAGATGCTATTGAATTACACTAATTTGTAGTTAATTATTATTTAAGTATTATAATTTAAATACTATACAATATTATTTTAGTTTATGGTAACCCCCCCCCCCTAAGGGGCCTTTATTCGAAGGGAGATGCCTAGGAGAAAATTATAAAAGTAATTAATTTATTAGAGTATAACCTCACCTAACAATGAATGTAAAGTAACTCGTACTTATAGAGGAATAGTTTTGTTTCTTAATTGAATAATGTGATTTTTAAAATAGTTATAAGAAATAGATTTTTAATTGGAAGTGTTCTCTCTCGCTGGTTAGCCTGCGAATAAGTGAGGGTTATTTTTATTTTGTCGCGTAGCGGTAAAAAATAATAAAAAAAACACAGGCCAAGGAGGGTAAATTATATTTAATCAAAAACAAAATTTGTAGCAGTGGTTAATCTTGTTAAATCGGTGAACTGTACTAGCAAATGTTTGATTGTATAACCTTTTAAAACAAAAATATTTCAAGAAGTAGTGGTAAAGATAAATAACTTACTCTATTCAATAACAGCTCTCCAAGTATTGCAAAATTGAGACTTTCTATTAATTTTACATCGTTTTGCAAAGCAATCCCTATTGAGCCTAGTCTTAGGGGGGGTTTATTAAAAATTAATTTAATTAAATATTATTGGGTGAGTAGCTAAAAAATGAATACCTTACTTAAAATATACATGAAATATAAATTACTACTTCCTAAGAAAAGTCATTCTATTCCTATAACTCTTTTGTTAAAATTAATGTAAGGACTCATTAATTACTATGTACTATGTACTATTACTATGTACTATGTTCTATCTACTATTATGATGTAGGAATTTTCTAAGCTGTGGTTAAATTATAAAGAAACACTGAAATTTTTAAAATATATGGTCAACCTTCTATTTTTATTTAATAAATTTATATATTTACTTTTATATTTGTCTTCGTATACCTCACAAAGTGAGTCCTTACCTTTTTATTTCCTCCATCCCCTTAGGTACCTATTGCTTTTGTTTTATTCCCTCCCCATGGGTCGCTAGCGGTAGCTAGCGGTAGCTAGCGGGAGGGAGAAATAAATTTTAAGGAGATAAGGATAGGCTGACCTATTGTAGAGGGGGGTTAAAAAGAAATTCTATAAACCAAGTTCTGTTAATTTACACCTTTTCATCCTTTACTTATACCTTTTTTAAATGGATAAATTCTATGAAAAAAAAGCAAAGGTGGAAAAGTAGGTAGAGGTTTTTCTCAGTAGCACCTCCTTACCAGACAAGTAAAGGAGGAGACAAAGCAAAGTCAGTAAAATATTTACAAAGACAATAGGTGTAAATATAAATAAAAATCTAATAAAAAAAGGTAAAATATAGGATAATAACTGGATTATTTATAGAGTTTCCTACATTTTTATTTTTATTCCATCCCTTACTTCCCTTGAAAGAGACTTGAAAAATTAAGGGCTACTATGTACCTTTGCTTTATTTTACCCTCACTATAACTCTCAATTTTTGATAGTGAGGACCCTACGGGGGGGGGG